TTATTGTGACGTACTGTACAAAGCAGCATTTAACAGATGTTGGGAAATGAGCTCTATAAGCCTCTCATATAAACATATAGCAGATGCATGTGTATGAATTAATTTCAACATCAAATGTGAGTATTAATGTCATCAGGCATTTTTTAATGTTTGTGCCTATTCTACTGTGTTTTGAGTCCTCACTGCCAAAAAACATAGAAACTTCTCGAGAGAAAGCTAAGTGACTCTGTTGTAGCAATGCTTACTAGTGTGGTACTGATGGTTCTGTTCTCTTGCCTAAGACATTGCCTTGAACAAACCCACCAGTGAAAAAAACTAAGTGTCAATTGTTTCATTACATACCCTCCATACACAGTGTTGACAAAAAAACCCCAAACATGCAAACCACGTAGTTGACATTACTATGGCTGTTCATATCCCTGCTGAAATAGCACACATGCAGCAAGGTGAAAGGTCTTTCCACTTCTTGTCTTACTTAGGGGAATGCAGTATTGAGGATTAGATTCCCTTTTATGGCTTCCAGGATGAAGTCAAACCAGCATGAAGAGGGGAGCTAACAAACTGTGGCTCACCCCTCTCCGTACTGTATACAGGAAGGGAAATAAGGCAGGTCAGGCAGAGAATGGAGGCAAGAGCTGGGACAAAGCCTAAAACAGAACAGAATTAGGAGAGGTGCAGCTGACAAAATGACATAGAGATTTCCCTGTTTCCACTTACATTTAATGTATTTTGCATTTTTGCATTTCACATCTGTATTTTGATTTTGTGTCCCTCTTAGTTTTCATGCATTAAAAAGTCAAGTGCATCTAAAGAAACAACTAGGGTATTAAAAGAACATTCCTCCCCACCAAATTACAACAGATGTGCAATATTAATTTAGGGTGAATATGTACAGATGTTATCAAAATCACCCTCTTACCTGCCAACTCCACCAAATGCTCTAGTACTTGGATATTTTCTTCCACTGCTGTGTGGAATTTCTTATTGTAATATTCTCTGTGCCTTTTTTTTTTTTTTCCCCTTTCTTTTTTTTCTCAGATGTTTTTTCCAGTTACTACACCTGCATATGGTCTCCTCCTCTGGTCAGATGTCTAAGTTAAAACAATACTTCATGATAATCACTGAAAAGAAAAGCAGCCACTGAAGATACTGATGTGATGAGGGTGAGAGGCTAGGGACTTGTGCTGAATCCTAGAAGAGCACTTTATAACCACAGCAAACCAGTAAGTTTGGGCTAGATGACATGGCAGAGAAGCGATGTGATGTGAAATATGAGTTGGGGAAGCATGCAAAAGAGAGAAAGTGAAAAGGCAGATTTAAAATTGGATTTTCATTTACTAGTGCTACCAATGTGTGAATTTACTAGGAGGATGATGCTTTTCTTTGCTGAATTTTAATTCTCTGTATCACTTCTTTACTTCAACATTGTGCTGCTTACACATGTCTGCACAGCAAAACATGTGCAAATGTCAGTCCTCTTTGTGCCTCAGGCCTGTGCAAAGCTATATTAGCACAGCACTAAATCTGAACTAATGCACCCTGTCCCTCAGCAAGGACTAATAGCTGAGGATCAACTTCATGCTAACAGCCTTTGAGCCTGCCTGTAATGGAGGCAAAGTGAGTTTTATCTTCCCACAATGTACTTTGCAGAGCTATCTATACTGGGTTTAATTTGGAAGAAGCATTAAAAGCTTTCTAATACATTATTTTGATTTTCATTGGTATATGTCAAAGTGCTTTGCAAATGAGGCAAGAGTCGTTGTCCATATTTCATTACATGCAACACTAGGACAAGAAAAATACGGTGTCTGCCCTTAGTTATGCAATGGTCACGTCTGGAGCATGGTGCAAGTATCCACTACATTATCCACTAGACCATACTGTGTCTCTAACTGGCAGTTGCAGGATTGTTGACATTCTGTGCTAATATTCAGTCACATAATGCTTTATATTAAATCCTGTCTTTATCATGAATGTCCACAATGGCAAAAGTAGAAACACTGCAGTGCATTCTGTGCAGCTTGTTTTTCTAGTTTAATACGTACAAAATCAAAGCAGAATTATGTCAATCTATTGTGAAAATGTGCAGAATTTTAATCTTTATAAACTGGACTAAGTAATAAGTGCCCCTGTAAAAACATCGTTTTTCGCACATCAGGTTTAATATCTTTACATAGAAAGTGAAAGAAAAAGCTGATAATTTTCTCTAAGTGTGTTTTGTTTACAAATTCATTATTATTCCAATTAGTTTTAAGAAGTTGATTTAAGAAGTTAAACATGCAATATACAATGTTGTACATTCTTCTATCTATCTTCGTTGCTTAACTTTATTTTCCAAAAACATGATAAAACATTAATTACATCTCCTAGCCCAGAACTGAAGCCTGATTTAACTTGGTTAGCTTTTGTGGCATTGTATCAGGGACTCATGTGGACTTAAACATTTCAGGTTGTTTTACATATGTAGCAATAATTGTGCTGTTTAGAAAAATATGGTGCCATCATGTGGACAATATTAAGAAGTGTAAAAAACAGTTCTTGAAAGAAAAAGTAGGTAATAGATAAATATCTGTGTTTGATATCATGAATCAGATGAATTATAAATATGCATTATATTATATAAGAAGCTATGTACAGATCTGCAGTTTTAAATTATTAAATTGTATTGGGAAAAAGAAAAACTGATAAAGGAATCAGAAATTGTCAATTCAATCCTCTTTATTTTCCAACAGCTTGGGAAGTCCTTTCTGATAAGCACAGGCTGATCAAAACACACAAAAGAATCTCCAAGCCATTTTTAATCAGCAACTAATTCCAACATTACCTATTTCTGTACTCATTTCTGTATCTGTTTCTCTCTTCAGTTTTCCTCCAAGACAAAAACAAATCTTGTTTTTGTACAGCCTGCGTTGCTTCTCTCCCACACAAACGCACACATGCACAAACACTGCTATCCATAACATCACCCTGCCCACACATTTCTCATTCCTGCATGAGTTCACACGAAGCTTTGTTTCAGCCATGGTTTTGGTTTAAGGCCTCTTCTTCCTTTTTACATTTAACCAAGAGGAAAGAGACTTTGCCAGATTCAAAACAGCTATCCCTAGTACTAATAAATGTCCACAATGGTCAAATTAGAAACACTGCAGCACTGCAGTGCACTCATGCAGCCTAAGTTTTTCTAGTTTAATACCTACAAAATCAAAGCAGAGTTATGGAAAATGTGCAGAATTTTAATCTCTGTAAACTGGAGTAATAACAGGGCCTGTATAAAAACATGCATCGTTTGCTACACATCAGGTTTCATATCTTTACATGGGAAGTGAAATAAAAAGTTCCTAAAGATAATTTCCTCTATAATACCCCTTCTATAACAGACCTGTGAAGGCTTGCACACGAGGAGCATGATTCCAAAAGTGTCCTCTGTGATACCCTCCCCCAAAGAGAGTTCTGCATGTCACAGAACTGTAATCTGTCTCCTGCTCTGAGACCCTGTATGCCAAGTGCTAGTTAGCCTGTTCTGCAGTTTGCTGATTTAATTTATATTGAATAAAGGCAAGAACTTTTAAAGCCTGGACAGTGAGTTTGCAACAGAGTGCCTGTCTGGGACAGAGCTTGAAGATATGATGTGTTTGGATCAGTCCCTTCTATGAAAGTTTAGTAGTTTTGTTTTGGTAAAATTTAAAAAGTTTTATTTGACATTTATGAACACTAAGATCTTTGTAATCCCTTTTGAAAATGGAGATTTATGTAGTACTTTACTCACAAATTGATGTATTTTGTGTAGAAAGAGCCTGCTCTTGTGGTGCAGTAAGAAATGGAATATGTATATGTGTAGCTTCACTAAACGGATATAATGGAATGTCATACATTAAGAAGATTCTCTGTGGTACTGTTTCAGTTTCCACATAACAAAAGGTAACTCTATGAAGTAATGACAACTGTTTTCCGTGTCTGTGCATCTCATGCTTGGCTGATTTTATTGTACAAGAAAATGTGAATTCTAGCTGAAATTTTTACCATTCTTGGACCTTTTTTTTTTTTTTTTAATGTGGATTCTCTGGTGTGTAATTAGGTATGAACATGGACTACAATCTTTTTATTATTGGATAAACTTACAACGTCTCTTATTCTTTTTCTGATTTGACATTTATTTTCATGAAATTTTTAAGGGTTTAATTTTTTTTGCCAATTTTACCTTGCGGTCAAACTTGGTAGAAATTATTATGGATTGAAAAATTGTGAGGGTGGGAGGCAAATGGAACATGCTAATGCATGGATGAGGCTGTTGGAAATCTCTAGTCTATATCACTGTGATCTAGTTCTTGATTAGTTAGCTTTTAAATGTTTAGAATATGTGAACAAAGGTAAAAAGAATAAATTTATACCTTTTTTAATTAATACCCATAAATCTGAAGCCAATCTTGAGATAAATAGACCTCATGTGTGATTTTTTTTTTTTTTTAAATAATTGGCAACATTGTGCTAGACAGAGTGTGGAACAAGCTCAACAACCAACTTTCTTTCAGATGAACTTTAAATGTCAAAGTATCAAATGATAGCTTGCATAAGTTTGGTTTTCAGTGCTTTGGAAAGTGTACACTCATCCTTTTAAAAAGTGTGACACTGGTTTAGTTTTGGAAGGATTGGTTAAATACACTCTGAAGGCCAGTAAGTTAGTGAAAATATATTTGATTTCCAGGATTCTGACATATTTTGCCATCAGTGATTATGAAAATGGGAAAATGAACCCTTCCTGATGCATGAATTTTTTATGTTGTGCATGGTTCATCAAATCTGATTCATTTTTGCCCACTGTATAACCTTGATGAGTTAATGAGATTATGCAATATTACTAATGGTGGACTTTCATTTCAATTTTTGAAACAAACATCTCTAAAATCTGAACAGAAAAAAGCAAGAATCAGAATCTCATCAACCTCTGTTGGCTGTAGTGTGGGATTTTTATATTCTATATCTCTTCGCAAAACTTATTTTTTCTAATCCTGCCTGGGTTGAGGGTTGGGTCTATCAATCATTGTACCATCCTCATTGCTGGGATTTCTTGTAACTATTACCCAGTAATTCTTATCTTCTTCAGCTTTATGGGAGTCCAGATAAGTGTGACAATTTACCTCATATTCTTGTCCAAAATAAGTCCTGCAAAGTCAACGAAAAGGAATGAGCTGGGGGAATTAATATACATACATACACACACACAAATTCAGCAAACCTGCATTATCTATAAATTGTTCAAGGTTTTCTTATGTTTCTTTTGGCTCACTCAGAAGTATCCATGCATTTCAAATATTGGACCCTTACAAGAAACACAATAGCCCACTTTGTTTCCTGTGAATAATTTAGGAATTTGAAATCAAAGGGAAATGCCACCTTTCCAGCTTCAGAGTTAAAGCAGCCCCATCAGTGTAAGGCACAGATACACTCACTCAGTACGTACAAGCTGGTTAGATTCTCATCACCACTCACACCACCATTTCTCTCTGACTGAGGAAGACTCTGGTTTCTTAATAACTCTTTCAGCCTCAAACTTTCCGATCTTATTTCATTCTCAAAAACCTGGTACAAATCCTCAGTCAGATCTTGTTCAGGATATAACGGGAAACAATTTGTATACTCCTTAACAATGCTTAATCAATATTAATTTAATGCATGCACATTAGCTTGAATTGTTGGATTAACTTAAATTTGTTGAGAGATTGATTCATATGGACATAAGCAATATACAGTTTTATCCAGTATGTTTTTATTTATTTCTCTTACTCCTTACACTTCTTAGTATACCTTTTTTTCTTCAAAAAAAAAACCCCAAAAACCCAGACAACTCTAATTGCTCAAGATATTCAAGGAGAACAACCAAGAAACTAGAGAAGGCTAGGAGCATGATATGATAGGAATTAAAAAAAAAAAAAAAAATTAAAACCAACCAAATAAGACTGAGCTGATTATCTGCAGCATCACAGTGGTACATATTATAGACCAGAAAAAAAATAAGGGAAAAGAGAATGTGCATTCTGCATTCTTTTCCATTTCCTCAGTGCATTCCTAAAGCAACTACCTTGCTTCTTACAGTAATTCTTGATGTTGGCACATCACTGTGCACATCCCTGCCAGTTATAAATTATTCTTACCTTGTCCAAAAGTTTCTTGGAACAGCTAAGCTCCTATTAGTATGGCAATGAGTAATGATAATTTTAGAGTTTGCCTGGAAAAAAAAAAAAAAAGGGAAGACACTTGACAGACATTTTTACACTAATTTTAACTATTCTTATTCAAATTAAATACTTTTTTTTTTTTTTTACTGCTTATTGTAAGCCTGCATTGCTCTGTACCATTCTGAGACTGCTGTACATTGATAGTGAGATATTTCACACCCTATCAGTTCTCAACACAATTGTCTTAATAGCTCAGACTGGCCAAGTGCTTAGTCCTTGGGTCAGACACATTTTCCTGTCCAATACATTCCATTCCACTCGCTTCTGCTGGGCACTTAAAAAGTTAAGTAGTAGAGAGTCATTCCAGTGGCTTGTGCCATCAGGGTAATTACACTTACAATTGATATTTGCCATATGAGAGATCCAGATGGTTTAGGGACACAGCCTCAAAATGGACCTCTTTATTTTACCAATTTGTAATTTTTTATGTATAACAAGTAATTTTTACCCCATTTACCAGTATTGCAAATGAAGAATGTTGTCTTCGACAATTACATAATTTTGACTGTGTTTATTAGTGAGCTGATTCATGCAAATGAGTCACAGTTCAAGGCTGTAGATGAACAGTTATATTTGTGATGTTTTGCTATACACCCAGCACTTCAGGAAGCCCAGCAGTTATGTGGAACAGGAAAATACTACATCTGCTTAATGTATTTACAAAAGGTTAAAACCCACATTTGGAAAAGCATCCACTTATTCAAATGCCATGGGGGTTTTTTTTAATACTTTTTAAATTTAATGTACAGGAGTTCTTAATTAATCGCAGCTCAGAAGCCCTGAAAAGCAGATTCTGAATACTGCATTCTCACAACGTGATAATGTTGACCTTTAAAAAATTCTGATGAGAAAAACTGAGCAAGTCAACCTCAAAATGAACACCAGGACCTATTAGTTGTATCTGCAGATTCCCTGGCTAAAGAGATTGTTCCTTCCCTCTCCCCCTTCCTAAAATTACAGGTCAGAACTTACATAAGGAAACTATGTGAATAAAATAGACACAACTTTTTTGTAAGTACATCTACTGTTTCAATTAAATCTTTGTAGCATTTTCTACAGTTTTAATTTCTTACAGGAACTGGGAATCCTTCATATTCAAGACGCAGCTGTGGATCCAAGAAGGTAGCTTGCCAGCAAGTCAAATAGGAAAGCTCATCTCTCAAAAATACTTGCTGAAGGTAAGATTTTTTAGCAAATCTTATAAATGATTTATGGTCACTTGCTAAATATAACTGTAAATAAAAATATATATTAAAGACATTATAAATATAAAAGAAATGAGATGTAATTTTAAAAAAATACTTTTCAACACAAAAAAATTCCTCTCAGCTCCTGGAAAATCAGTTTGCCAAGCTAAATCTACACATGCAAATCCCGTAACATAAATTCTATGCTGTTGACAAACTTGGTAGTTGTTCTATAGGCAAACTGGTGAATACTAATTTAAAAATGAATTTACATTCCTAAGATTCTCTCTCATCAAAGTAGCTTGTTGAGAGAGAGAAAATGTTTTCAGAGTTGTGGTCATTTATTTTTAATTCATATGTAGCATGTAACAGCTTATTTGCTTCTAACTTGAAGAGGGAAATAACATTAACATTTAATAGAAATCTGCTCCCTCAGAATGATAGAATAGTATGTTACTTCATACACCTACTATAGATTTATCTTTACAAGAAATTAAATCTTCTATTTTTTTATTTATTTAAAGAAAAAGTAAAAAATAATCTCACTCTAATGATGAATTGTTTCATGATTCACAAGCTAATTTTGATTTCCTTTTCTCTTTTTTAAAAAATCTCTTTTATCCAGTTGTTCTGGCTGACAGCCACCTTGGCCTGCACACCTGATCTCAGGCAAGTTGCACAAACTTTTTAAATACATATTGCTTATCTTGATCTATGTATGATTCTGAATCTGTTCTGTAAAGCTAAGATGTTGAATCACTGTACAGCTTTATATACACACACACACATATATATATAGTAATTAAATGTGCACTATCAGTATATGCTACCATTGCCATTTGCAACTTTACTGCCTTACCATTTGGTCAGAAAACCCTCCTGTTGTCCCAAGACCAAATTTTTGCCCAAATCTAATTGGTTCACCCACTGCAGCTCCATCAACACTGTTAAAATTGTAAAAAGGAAGAAAGAGACACTCAAATAATCAGCTTTACTATTTCTTTTATAATATATTTTGGTCTGTAGTTAGGTCTTATGGCAATACTTTGTATTAAGTTTACCTTTAAAAATAGGTAAAATATCTTGGCTGAAAAGACATTTTATACTTGAATTACTGATTGAAGTATTTAATAGAAACAGATGGTATTGATTGCTTTTTATGATATATTCATTAACATGTAGGGTGTAAAGATAACATCCAGTGAAAAATCAATGGGAATCCAGCACTGAGGCCCCCTATAAATATACTTAATGAAAGCATCTGAAAAATCACAGACTAAAAGCAGAACAGTGTGTGTTTCTCTTTGTCTGTAACTTATCATAAGTTGCTAATATTGTATGTAACTGATATTCAATAATTTGGTTAACTACATCAACATACATGCTGGTATATCCCTATTTCCAGAATTATTTCTGTATTTTAAGTTAAAGAATCACTAAGTTAAGTGCTAGGTTTTCTAAGTATATTCAGTGTAAAAAAAATTAGGGAGCTGATGAAATTAGTTATTGAGGGACTTGAGAGCAATCAGTGCCAACGACCAGGATCAGACAGCAGCTTAGCAAAAATACTGGTTGCAGTTTTGGAAGGCCTAAATTATGCTCTTGGCATTAAAATTCTTTCTTAGGTCTAACCCACGGTGTTTTTTTCAATCAGGCTTATATGGGTTAGTTTGTACTCTTATGCAGTATTATTATTGTTAAATACATGCACTCCACTGAGTGGAGAGCCTTCCACTGTTGAGCAGGACCCTGTTCTGTTTCTTCTCCCATGAACAGCTGGAATTAAATATATCTTTGAGAGAGAGAATATGCTGTTTGGTTAGGGGTTTTTTTAGGACAACAGAAACACTGTCCATTTCATGTACAGCAAAAGCATTGACACAAGTTTCTGCTTCAGAAAGCTTATTTGCAGCAGAAGGAATAATAATAATAAGTGATTTTTGGACATGTTTTGTATTCTACAGCTGAAATATGACCAACCACATTAAAAATGGCTGCAGGGTTTGCCAAATGATACAGTAAATTCAATTCTGTTTTCATACCAGTTCTAAGCTGATTTAAACTTCCTTGGAATTATTCACAGTAATATATGTAGCAGAATCAAGCTTAATGCATGAGCCAAGTTAAAGATTTCTTCTTAAATAGATTAATCTTACACAAATTCATTGAATATTAGCAAACTTCATTGCGTATTTCTAAAAAGAAGATACTGAAAGCTAATAATTGAAAACAACTCAAAGTACCAAACCGTAGCAAACTTCATTGCGTACTTCTAAAATGAAGATACTGAAAGCTAACATAATAATTGAAAACAACTCAAAGTACCAAACCTTAAAATACAAAAAGTATTTTGGCCCACAGGGTCCACACTCTGGACTGCACTAACTCCACACGGGGCTGGCAATGATTTGGTCGAATACACGAATGTTTCATCCACAGTAACTGCCAAAGTCAGGCTGCTGCACGTTCCAGGGTTATTCTCCACCGAGGAGTTGTTGCCTGGGTTCAAAAGCATCACAGTGTCTCCAAAATGAACAAGTCCATCCCTAGATACCGACAGCTGTATCTAAATTAAAAGATACATATTTTTTTTACTAAATTATCTGAACCTAATATCAGAAGTATTTTAGCATATGAAATGCTAATCCGTAGCGTTCTTAATGCACGAAGAACACTAATTAAACAGCTATGCCATGCTATGTGGAGTCATAGAGGATTGGCAGAACCTTCTTGAAAAAAAAAAAAAAATTACCTTCTTGAAAATAGTATCTTGAAGTTTGTTTATTTTCTGTATTAGAAGTTCTCCTCGTTCCCTTTTCCGCATGAAATCCCTCAAGCGGTCCTGCTCGCAAAAGAGAGAGGGGGCGGACCTGTTATCCAGCGCTCACAATCTCGAGATTAAACTGAATTTAAAGAGCGAGGGAGAAACACCGTGAGGTGAAGAGGCAGGAGAGGGAGAGGAGGGCCCGGCTCCACCGCTACCTCCTCCAGACTCGCGTCCTCGCTCCAGTTGCCGATCAGCACCCCGGCTCTGTAGGCGGCCATGGCCGGCGCCCGGGCCGCGCGGCGTCCGCCGTCGCCATGGCGATCACTCTAGATGGCGATTGGGTGCTGGGGAGGCAGAGCCCACCAATGAGCGATAGCGAGCGTGAGGGAGGGGGCGGGCTCGTTCCGCCCAGCGGCCGCG